ACTTAGTACATTCCCAGACGTTTAGCCTGCATTATCAGTGAGTTTTGCCATTCTCAGCACAAATATTGTTCCAAACGGTTGTGTTCACTCCCTCTTTCCCGGTATATTTACCAACCCCCAATGCTTATTTCTTCTGCCTTACTATCACAACTTTTAACTTGTTGTTCATCTCAACAACAATCGATCAAGGGATTAATCAAAAGCCAGTTTTTATACATATATTAATAAGTTAGGAGTAATTTATAATATGAAGAGGAATAAGCTATTTAAGTTCATAGATATTAACCCAAAGCTCTGGTGGAATCTTGTAAGGAATCTTACTCCAGGATATTCTCAAAAAATCCAGGCTATAGATATATAGAAATTACAAAGTATATTGGACCTAGTAACAAAGAAACATTTAATGAAATGGTTGGGTATTCAATTATAAAGTTAAGGCCAGCTCACCCAACTGATATCGCTTCAGCAGTAACAACACCTACTGATCAATACGTCCAAAGGTACAAGGTGGTAAATCTATCCTTGACTATTATTGATAAAGGAATAATAGTGATAATGAACAGGAAACAGTACACCAAAAATATACCACAAGACAGTACCAAACATAGTGTACTAAAGAATGATCCAAATAATGGTCCATTAAAACCTGTGACATCATTTGTGATATGAAGGGAGAGATGCATGCACTATCACCGTCAGCCTATAGATTACAGTATGGGGCGATGCACAAATTAGAGAAGATTATATGTTCAAAATTCAAGAAGTTAGACGAGAGGTGAAACATTCATGTGAATTTTACCAAGATATCAAAAACATCGAAGTGGAAGGAACATAATTATTGGTAGGCTTTGATATACAATTGACAAATATACCACCATCCTGGAAGAAAAGGCGCTAACAGTCTTGCTGGGGGATCTTGGATCGAGAAGATGAAAGAAAGAACAACACTTATGACAAGTTTAACCATGAAATATGGAAATTGGATTGCTCAGGAGCCTGTAAGAAGTACTTCGGAGAAGCTTAAAGAAAAATCAAAAAATGAATCAAGGAACATTCATCAGAAAAACGGACAGAAATCAGAGATAGATGAACAGACAGGAAATGAGAGCAACGGAAAGGCAGCAGAAAGAATGGCGTCATACTACTATAGCAGAGGTGTTTTAAATTAGATTCTTCTGACAATACGATTAAATTGAGAAATTAAGGTCAGGTCAATTCTAAATAGGATGTAGCATAAGCTAAAATTGAATATAGCGAATTAAAAATACTCTCTCTACCCGAAATTCATTATCCAAGTGACCAGTTTCTGGAGGAAGGAAATCTCGAGTCAACCGCTTTGCCTCTTCAGCCGTCTTTCGGCGCTCCATAGCTCCAGATGCCTCAGTTAAATCATCGGTGTTTATAATCACTCTGTCGTCGCTTTGTTCTCCTGTTCCAAACCTATCTTCTTGTAGTTCTTGCGTTTGGATTTCTCCCCATCCTTTCTTTTCAACATTGCCCAGGTCCTGGCTTACTATATGTCCAACAGTCTTGCTGATATTACCATGAGAAATTCTAGGCAGGTTTTTATCAGGTCTGATAGAAGGATGAGTAGTAAACTCAAGAGATGTGTCGGAGCAAGAATAGGGAACGCTGGATTTTGAAGAGTCCATTGAGTTGAGGGGAAAATATGCATTGGAATGGACTGTAGAAATAGGTATAGGTTCATCAAAAACATGATGATCAGATGGTGGATTGCCATATGAAGTTGTTAGTTCTGGTTTCTTTGAAGCTGTAGCTTTGTCAAAGCAGTGAAAGCCCATCTCCTAAAAAATATGGAAGAAAGTGAGTATAGATATAGTAAAAAAATGTTATGGCAATGTAAACTCATTATCATTCTATGAAGAAACATTGACGAGTTTAGTGACGAAAAGTTCTTAAGATTTCGTACTCTGATTTACAAAAGTACGCATTAAGCAACATAGACAAAAGAATTATAAGAACTTCATTTTATATGAAAAGTAACCAAAAAAGGATATATATTTTATATAAATATTTCCAATTCACCTTTGATTGCATTAGAGCATGTAAGAAAGAGCAAGCTAGAACATAGGTTTTAAAGAATTTTCATTTCATTTTATTTGAAGAAATGAGTGGAGGGGACTCGTAAAATGATCTCACAGGAAGACGAGGGTTGCTTTGGAGCTGTTACTACAGAGTTAGTCGAATAAGTCCTCCGATCATTATGTCACGACCACGTCCGGTAATGTAGCATGTCCTCAGTCCAACTAGGTTCGTTCCTCTAAGTCTCCCTACCAATATGTTTAAATTGCGAAAACAAGAACAAACAACTTATATACAAGAAAAAGGGACTGCTAAAATAAAAAAGGCCACACCATCTTGTTCTTCATACCTTCGATAAGATTATATAATTGGAAATATCCAGTTCATATTTGAAAATAGATTTAAGTGTAGTAAATAAAATTGCAGATAAGTATCAATAAATTAAGTAAAAAGAAAAGCTACCATTAATTTATTGGCTAGAAAATATATTTCGTTAAGTAAATTTTGAGAGTCTCACTATGACACCAGTAGGGATCTTATTCCAGATCAACGGCAATATCTATGAGCAAATATTTGAACTACGTATGGGATCTCCGCTCCCCTCCGCTTGGCAAATGTATACATGGATAAATTGGAAAAGCAAGTAAACACTGCAGCCAAGAGTACATATGCGATACCTATTCACTGACATAAATAAGGTAATCAATTATAACAGCAAAATATAATTTAAATCGTAGATGTGAAGACCGAGATGTGGCCTTCTACTCGGTTACAGTCTTGTTTATCTTAATATTAATGGTTCGATCCAGTTTTCAGAACTTGGTCGATGTGTCAAGGAGACCTTGTGAAGCGAATATATTTCTGTGTTTCCTGCCATAGTACTCGTGGTTTCCAGCATCGGACCATTGACTTGGTACAATCTAAAACGTTTCGCAGGCATAGTCAGTTAGAGGGGCCATCGTTACAACCTATCAAAGTGACAAATGAAGACAATCCCTTTGACCAATTTCTGTTCATCTGTTTAATATAATTCAATTCATGCTTGAATGTACTTAAACATCACGTCTGACCAATGACCTACTGTCATATTTGGCCATGTAACTTGGTAGTAGTTTGGGTAGTTGTTAACAGCCAATTCAGGGCAGAACTGCAGTTCGTTCTAGACAAATACCTTAAAGGAGGCAGAACTAGGTGAAATTTGGTAGCATCGTGAGACCTATTGTGGAAGTTTTTAATATTACTTCAATCTAGGATAACAAGTCTTATTGGGGAATTTCGCTGCTGCAAGGGAAATATAGCTAATTAAATGTTGCTTTAACTTATCCTTCAATCAAGTATTGATAATTTTTTTTGTCACAAAATTTGACTTTGTAAAAACGACCATCCGAAATAAGCGAAGTTAAATATAATTAAAATTAAGTTATCTATTTAAAAAAGTAGGTTCCCAGACTATCATTACTTATTATTGTTAACTATTAACGTTATTTAAAGTGTATATAATGAAAAAATAAGCTTAAGCAGCAACCATTTAAAAAAAAATCAAAATTCAGCCTTGTTTTGTAAGCTACCTCGTTTGTTATAAAATCTAGATCATCATTAGCCACTTCCTTTTGATAATGAACGAAGGCATCTATCGCGGCAAAGAGGTGTGGTGAGGAAGCGCGCAAGTAGCGATGAAGGCCGATTCTGACTGCCAGTGCTGCAAATATGTTGTTATTTACAAGAGCAGAGCGCAGATCAGTGAGAATACCGGGAGAATGATGTTGGGCATCTTCATAGAGGAAGCGTGTAATTACATAATCAAGCACAGCGTCACCAAGGAATTCAAGTCGCTGGTAACAATCAGTCTCCACCGTAGGTCCAGCATGCAAACGATTGTAGGTTGTATAGTAGATTAAATCGCCCCCAGAAACCGAGTTTGTAACAGAGAAAATAGAGGGTCCCTTGCCTAAATGATGATAAGATGGATGCGTAAAGGCCTAAGGAAAAATAAAGTAAGTTTTATAACAATTCACATCAGTGAGTAGCTCAGTTGAATAAGGTAAATTAATTAGAATAAAAAAGAAACATGCTAAAAAATACTCGCCAATCCCAAAAAATAATGAGCAATTAAT